GATAGTGGTGATTTCATGTGGTTCGATTCAGCACATAAATCCCTTAACACACTGCAGCCTCAGGCCAAGTGGCACCCATTAACTTTGTGAGGACCAAGATGCTGCCACAGCGGCATTAATCCTGACCATAACTTCTTGAACTCCATCCAGGATGTGGGTGATGTTTCTCCAGTTTACACATGAACTCAGAGAGATGAACAGGTTTTGGGGCTTGGAAATGCAGTGTCTAGGCGAGTCCCCATTGCCAGGGCAGAACTCCTATTGGGTTCCCCTGTCTCAGGTCCAGTTCATTTCCCTCACTTGTGAGGGGAACTCCCCAGTTTGTCTTCAGGAAGATAGGCTGCTTGGGGCTCCCTGACCCCCAACCCTCTCTGACCCTACACTGACCCCAAACATGCTGCTCAGGTACGGCAGGTACGGCTCTTCCAGGATGAGGAAATCTACAGCGACCTTTACCTGACTGTGTGCGAGTGGCCCAGTGATGCCTCCAAGGTCATTGTCTTCGGTTTTAAGTGAGTCTTGGGGGCATGGAGTGCGGAGAGAGGATTGGGAAGGGGTGTGTGGACCAGGTTGCTGAGGGTGTGTGGCCCCCAGCACCCGCTCAGCCAATGGAATGCTCATGAACATGATGATGATGAGTGATGAGAACCACCGTGACATCTACATCAGTACTGTGGCCATGCCACCACCAGACCGCTGTGCTGCCTGCCAGGAGGCCAGCCGGGCCCACCCAGGTGAGGGACTAGCTGCCTTGTGGCACAATCCCCTGCCTCCCTGCCAACCAAGGGCTGAGAGTGAGCCTGTGGCATGTGTTGCTGCAGGTGACCCGAGTGCACAATGCCTGCGGCATGGCTTCATGCTGCACACCAAGTACCAGGTGGTCTACCCCTTCCCCACCTTCCAGCCTGCCTTTCAGCTCAAGAAGGACCAGGTGGTGCTGCTCAACACCAGCTACTCCCTGGTGGCCTGCGCTGTCTCAGTTCACTCGGCAGGTAGGCCCCTGTGAGGGTGGTTCTGCTACTACCCTGTGATATGGACAAGGAGGCTGAGGAACAGAGAGGCATAACCCCTTCAGCCCTAAGCAGGACTGCTGGGGCCCAAGCCCAGCCATGCCTCATCCTGGTCCAATAGAACTTTCAACAGGGCTGAGGTGTTCCATACTTGCTGTGTCTGCCATAATTGCTGCCAGTGGCCCCTTAAAAGTAGTTCATGTGTCCAATGACCTGAGTTTCAAGTTTTATTAAATTAAGTTTAAATAGCCACATGTGGCAAGCAGCTACTAGCTGGACAGCACGCCCTTCTCTTTAAAAAGCAGTATGCTAGTTAGAAATCTCAGTAGTTACTGGACAGACATCCATCCTTTATCTTTGGTCATCATAGAAATGCCATGAAAAGCACAAAGTGATGTCCCTCGACAGGGTTTCAGATGGTTAGCAAGCTGGAAAATGCCACTGGCTGGCGGTGACATGAGGTCCCAGCAGCCCTGTGCCCAGGCATGTGTGAGGCTGAGGTGGCAGCATCTGGGGGCTGTCTGGTGTCCATCCGGGGGTTGGGGAGGTAGGACAGGTAGATCCTCCTTATCAGCAGGCCCAGTGAGCTCTCCAGGGTGCGTATCTAAAAGATGTGCAAAGATGCAAACAAACAAGGATATCTATAATAGACTGCCACTTACTTATAGATTAGAAATTTGTTTGAATTTTGCAAGGCCCCAAAATAAAAAGGTAACTTCTAGCTACCTTGAAATAGTTACCTCTAGAGGGTGAAGGTGGAGGGACATGGGGTTGAAGAGAGCATTAAATGTATTTAAGACCACAGATCATCAGGGGCCAGCATGCCTTGTCTTCAGGCCCTTCTAGGGCTGCCTACCCCATCTGGCCACCAGTGCCAGTGTGACTGAGGTACTCCCCTCGCTGAGCCATGAACCCCAGTGTTTCAGACCTGGACTGGGCACATTCCTGAAACCTGTTAGGAAGGACCACATCAGATAGGATTCTCCTGTGTACACCCAGTCCAGGAGAGCATCACTGTCATCGTGTCTAACACCTGTCGCCACATGTACACAGTGGGGAGCTTTGACGTGCTCATTTTCCAGTGTTAGCACTCCCCTCCCCCAAGCACCACCACTACAGTGAACAAGAGCCAGACTCACATTATCTCATGGCATGACCTTGGACAAGTTTCTCTCTGAGCCTCAGTCCCCAGTCTCTGAACCAGGAAGACATGGTCTCCTCTCCTGGGGCTGCTGGTAGGGGGTCCAAAGGAGACAGTACAGGCAGAGCCTAGGCCTGACTCTGGAACTACTTGGTGATGAACTGATCCCACCCCCCGCCAGATGGGGATCTCACCTCAGCTCTAGACAAACTGAGAGAGAGAGATGAAGCCCTGGCTTTGGCCAGTCTTTTGGGGAAGATGGAGGTTTTTGTAGTAAACCCCAAGCTTATTTACTTGCATAAATCACTACCGTGGACATTCTGCTCCCAAGGCAGAGATTTTGTTCGTCTGGTGCACATCTTTGTCCTCAACATTTGGCGTACAATAGGTGGTTAGTTAAGTTTAAATGAGTAAGTGTGTGGGTGTGAGAGGGCCTTTTCCTTTCTGGGGGGTTTCAAACTGATCTCTCAGCAAAGGTAAATCTAGAAGGGCTTCCTCAAGGAAACCTTATTCAGAAGGAAGTTGGGCGTATCCTGGACTTCAACTTGTTTATTAATCTTCCTCTTCCCCCATTTCTGTTGCTTCTTTTGTTCCAGGCGATAGCAGCTTCTGCCAAATCCTGTATGACCATACCACCTCGCCCCCAGTCCATCCCAATCCCCCTGGACCCCCAAGCCCAGAGGTGCCCCCTGCCTTTCCCAGCTCCCACCCTGAGGCAGCCCCAACCCGGTGCTCTGGGAACCCCGAGCCTTCCCCTGCCATTGCTAAAGCCAAGGAGTTTGTGGCAGACATCTTCCGCAGGGCCAAAGAGGCCAAGGGTGGGACCTCAGAGGAAGCCCGGCTGCCTCCCTGCCCAGGGCCCTCAGGCAGCCGCTGTCATGCACCCTCTGAGCCCCTAGCCCCAGGTGGGGATGCAGTGCCACGGGATAGCCCCCCTGCAGCTGAGGTGGCTGCTCCTGAGCCCGGCTACATCAACTACACCAAACTGTATTATGTGCTGGGCTCTGGTGAAGGGACGGAGCCAGAAGATGGTGAGTGGCGGGGAAGCGGGGGGAGGATGGCAGGACTATGGGCGTTGGAGGCCCACCTGGAGACCAGCTTCAAGTCTTCCTACCCCACCTATGCCTCCTTTCTGCCTCTTCAGAGTTTGAGGATGACAAGATTTCCCTGCCCTTCGTGGTTACTGATCTCCGTGGTCGCAACCTGCGGCCCATGCGGGAACGGGCTGCTGTCCAGGTTGGTGTTGGTGGTGGACAGGTGAGGGGGCAACCCTAGGCAGCCTGCTTAGGTGGCTTTTGCCACAATCCTTCCCCTGTCTGTACCCCCTCTGCCCACAGAGTCAGTACCTAACTGTGGAGCAGCTCACACTGGATTTTGAATATGTCATCAATGAGGTCATACGCCATGATGCCACCTGGGGTCATCAGTTCTGTTCCTTTAGTGACTATGACATTGTCATCCTGGAGGTGAGCCCGGGTGGGACAGGTATTTCCTCCTTGATCACTCTGGGGGTCACCCTCACTAGCTGTCACTCTCTAATCCCTGCCCTCCAGGTCTGCCCGGAAACCAATCAGGTCCTCATCAACATTGGCCTGCTGCTCCTGGCCTTCCCATCTCCCACTGAGGAGGGCCAGCTCCGGTGAGTGGTCAGGGGCCACAGCTGGACACATCAGTGGAGGGGGAGTGGCTTTGTGAGAAGACTTCTGGCCCCCAAACCTGGATCAGCCCCTCTTCTATAGCTTCAAAGATAAAACCCATCAGATATCCCGGGTCCCAGGTTCATCTGTCTCCTCTGCTCCCCACCTCCCTGCAGACCAAAGACCTACCACACCAGCCTCAAGGTGGCATGGGACCTTAATACCGGCATCTTTGTGACAGTGAGCGTGGGTGACCTCACAGAGGTCAAAGGGCAAACCAGGTGAGGCGAGCCCGGCACCAGGGCTGGTGGCTAGGGTGGGTGACTTGGGACCATGAGAGCCACTCACTCCCTCATCCTTAGCGGCAGTGTCTGGAGCTCGTACCGCAAGAGCTGCGTGGACATGGTGATGAAGTGGCTAGTGCCTGAGAGCAGCGGCCGCTATGTCAACAGGATGACCAATGAGGCACTGCACAAAGGTCGGTCCTGCAGCCTGGTGACCATCAGGACAGGTGCTCATGCTGGCATAGGTGCCAGTTCTGAGTGTTGCTGAATAGTGGCACATTGGTCCTGCTAGTGGGCACCGTGGAATCGGGGAGGGGAGGGCAGCCTAGATCAGGCTAAGCCCTGGGCCAGTTCAGAAAGGGCATAGCAGATGTGGCCTCCTGGGCCCCCATCAGATTGGGTAGACACAGGCCCTTCCAGGAGCCTGGGTCCACTGGGGTTCCATAGCTGTCTCCACCCTCCCTTGCAGGTTGCTCACTGAAGGTTCTAGCAGACAGCGAGCGATACACATGGATTGTGCTGTGAGGGCCCGGCCGCCCTGGACACTGACTCCAACTACCTCCGCGGCCTGAGAGCTGGCCGCCTTCCTGGCAGCCTCTTCCTGGCTGGCCTGCCGACCAATGACCGGCACTAGTGTTAGGCTGCAGGAAGGGGGCGGGGCTGGGCAGCCCCTGGTGGCCTGAGAGTCTGGACACTTCTTATTTATGCCTATTTAAGTTGGGAAGGGGCAGAGGGGGGAGCCCCTGCCCCACCAGCCACCACTCCAAGGGCGTGAGCCCTGGCACCCCTTGTGATGACAAGTGTGGAGCCCGAATGGACCCTGTTCCCCTGCCCATTCCACCCTTAGCCTCCCCCAACCTGAGGTGGCAACCTCATGGCTATCCCTCTATCCCCCACCCCTGTCCCTGTTCATGTAATAAATTGTTCTATTTCTGAACCTGACTGTGGTCCCCTTGTTGCTGCTGGAGCCCTCAAGCCTCAGACCCCCACCAAGGCCAGCAATTCAGCAATAGCCAAATATCACAGCGGAATTTATTGTGTTTTAAGAAAGACTACAAAAAGGTAGAAAACAGCTCAGCACACTAGACTACCACACGCTTGGACACTTGCACCTTTCACTGCAAGGAGAGGGGAGGCCCTGAGGCCATGTGAATGGGAGTGGGTGGACCACCCCAAAAGCTGTAGCACGCGGAGCACACAAAATAGTGATTTTTATACAATAGGTCAGATTTTTGTTTTTTTTTGTTTTGTTTTGTTTTTGCCATAAACATCTATCTCACAGGTTGAAAACACTGAGAAAACCGGAACAGATAAGGCCATGATGGTTGGAAAAAAACCAACAAGTTACCAACTCCGCTTAGGCAGCGCTCACAAATCGCACAATAGTTGTAGGGGGTGGGGGGATGTCACACAGCACAGAGGAGAGAAAGGAGAAGCACAGTCTGTCTCCACAAAGAGTAGGAGCACAGAGGTTCCATTACAAACTGGCGGCAGGGAGGGCCAGGGGGATTGGGATCTTGGATATGAGGGAGCGGAGCACCCAGCCCTGGCAGTGCCAGTGCAGCATTTCCTGCCCCACTGTCTGCAGCAGGCCCCTCCAGGCTCTCCTGCCTGGCCCAGCCTGCTGCTCTTTGGAAGCTGGACACAGTACCCCTGCCACCCTCCCCCCAGCCAGGCCAGGCAGTGCCCCCCTGTAGGGCTGCGGGGCAAGGGAGGACCCAGCTCTGGAGAAGAATCAACACCCACGGCTTTAATTGCACTTATACCAAGGAGGGGGAAGCGGTGGATTGTTGGGGGAGAAGGTCCTGGGGTTGCTGCTGACAGTGGGGAGTCCCCAGGTGATACCCACCTGTGCCCACCCGGGGCTCAGGGCTGGGCCTAGGACAGGCTGTGCAAAGCCAGCGAGCTGAATAAGTTAACAGTTCTGCAGGGGAGGGGGCCTGCCTGCCTGCCCCTGGGGTGGTGGGAGGGCGGAGCTAGGGGAAGGAGATGCTGCGGCCTTTGGGCCAAGGGGCCTAGCGGGCTGCCACAAGGGGCACCTGGGCACAGCGGCGGGTTCCTTAAGGCACGTCTTTTGTGTCAGTTTGCAGCTGCGGCTCCGCCCGGCCCTGATTGTGCTGGCCCCACAGGAGAGGGACCCCCCCTGCCTTCCCTGTCTCCAAAGCCCCTTCCTCCCCTGCTAGGCTGGAGCGGTGACAGTGAAGTCATAGAAGCTGTGAGGGACCCTGCGTAGAGGGGCAGCGGGGGGATGGGGGCGGGGAGGCAAGTGGGATGGGGACGGTCATGGGCTTAGCTGGAGGGCAAAGCCTGCACGAAGAGACCGCGCGCATCAGTCCGTGCCAGTTTGGCCGGTGGCTCTAAGGCCTCGGAGCCCAGCGCAGGTGACTCTCCACCAGCCGCCAGCGAAATGTCCTGTGGCAGCTCATCCTCGCTCTCCTCCTCCTCTTCCTCCTCCTCGTCTGGGGCACAAGGACCAGGCCCTATTCAGTGTGGGACGGTGGTGCTCCCATCCACCAGTGCCTCCACCTCAGCCCCACTCTTGGAAGCTCACCCCCACCTCACCCTCCACCCCTGCCTCAGGCCCTGGGTAGGAATATGCCTAGCCTACCTTTGTCCGGATCCAGAGTGTTCAGTGAGGTGGCCAGGTTTGCAAACTGGAGAAAAGGAAGAAGGGGTGAGAGTCCTGCAGCCCGTGGCGACCACCCTCAGGGCCTGCATGCACACACCACCCCTCCACACGCACCTCGCCCATGACAGCGATGGGGGTTTCGCCCTTGGCCTGGGCCACCCGGTGCTCAATCAGATAGTACATGTACTCATCGTAGAGCAACCGTATGAGGTGGAAGGAGCCGAAGCTGGCAGCGCTGCGAAGGGTCAGGTCCCGGATCACCATAGAGCTGGGGGGCGGGGTGGGGGGGGAAGGGAAGGCTGTGAGACCCCGTCCCGCCCCTCGCCCCTTTCTGCGCAGCCATGGCCCCAGGCTGGAACCAGCCCCGCCCCCCCACCTCGCCCTGGCTCCACGGTCCTGTCTGAGGGTAGTGGACCCTCGCACCATCCACCGCAGGGGAACCCCAGCCTTCCCAAAAGGACACCTGAGCCCTCCTGGAGGCAAGGCCTTCCAGGTCCTGCCTCCTCAAGGACTGCTCTGGGCCCAGCCCCTCCCTGTCCAGGTCCCGCCCAGCCGGTTCGCACCTGTAGAAGGACCACTTGAGCAGGAAGAGCTTGGCAGCCTTGGGGAAGCCGGCACTACCCTGATAGGGCTTGAGCACCTGGCTCACAACGCCGTCCAGCCAGGCCGCCCACTGCTCCAGTGAGTTCTGCTGCTGCAGCGTCACCTTGAAGTCCTGCTCCAGCCGTTGCACCACACGATCCTCGCAACGGCACACCCACGAGGCCTGCTCCTAGGCACAGCAGGTGGGTGGGCTCAGCCAGGTCCTGGGACCGCTTTGTCGGGCCGCCCCACACTCAGCTGCCTGCCCGGCGCTCACCTGCACGTTGGCAAAGTCCACGCGGTTAAGGTCGCTCAGCATCTGGTTTATTTGTGCAGTGTTCTGAAGCACAGCACGCGCAGCTTGCGCCAGGTGGTTGAGCGATGTGTATCGCCGCAGTGTCTGCGCAAAGGCGCCAGCCGCAGCCACCTGCAGGGACCGGAGTATGGATTCTGCAGGGCCCACACCCCTGGCCCTGCCCCATGGCAGCAACCTCACAGATACTGTTTACTTTCTCTAAAAAGGGAGGGGTGTGCCTCCATGCTTTTTGTTGGGAGATCCAGTGATCGGAGTTCTCAGGCTGTTTGGCACCCACCCACCCAGAGTTTGGATCAAAAAATTAATGTAATTGTCTGACCATCATTGTTATTGTTAATGAATGGACACAACAATCTCAGAGGGCACTGCCGGGAAGGGGCAAGCATTGCTTCGATAAACTTGTTTCAATTATTATCTTGAATGCTAGCAGCTGGAGAATGGGGTTTGTCCACGTGGGTCGATGCTGTGCTTTAGAACCAGAAAGGTGCTGGACACACAGTAGGTCCTTAATAAGTAGTTGATCAGTCTTGCCAGTGCCTCCCTCTAGATCTGTCTTCTACTTTCCCCACAGGGCCCGCCCACCCTTGCTCACCTAGCTTACCCTTCTGGGTGAGCCTCCAGAAATCCAGTTCTGTTTAGCTGTCTTGTGAGCATTTTAAGGCCTAAAAAGGAAACCCTTTTTCCTTTTCTTTTTTGCCCACGAGTAAGCATATCCCATCTAACTCTTCACATCTAAGCAGTTAGTGACTGTGTGCCACAGATGAAGAGGGTGTTATTCTGTTTTCTCATAGGTGTTGCTCTGCTGTTCGGTTTTATCTGTTTCTGAATACCTGGTGCACTTTCTGTAGACACTGTCTGGAGAGAACTACTTCAAGTTTGCATTTCATTTTATTTTTTTTAAAATGCTGTGTTGAGTACAAAAATACTACTAAGGGTTCAGGTTTCAGAAGTGGGCCCTGGAGGAGGCTGGTTTATAAAGGCCCAGCATCTGGCTCAGGGAGGCCATGCCACCCAGGACAGATATCACTGACTCCATGGGCAGAGGAGAAGGAGGCCCCCAATCTTGCCAGTCTCTGCCCACCCCCTGACACCCTCACCTTCACCCGAAGCATCTCCTCGGGGATATTGACCATGGCGTGGGTGAGCCAGCTCTCTAGGCTCTTGGCAAAGTTTCGAATTGCTTGAGTCAAGGCACCTGTGGGTGGCAGCAGGGGGGCTGATTAGGGCTACGGGGGTCAGGGAGGAACTTTGTGGGGTGGAGGTGGGACATGCACTCACTGGGGATGGGCCGTAGCACGTCAGGGATGAGGATCTCCACCAGGCCCTGGTACAGCACGTTGTCACAGTGCTTGGTCCATTGCAGCACAGGTTCAAACTTGGAGAGCAGCACCAGACTGGCCTTGGGCAGCCGCTTCTCTGCCTCATCATGCCTGTGGGCACCCACCCACCCCAAAATCATGACTGGAAGGGTGCAGCATCCCCCCAACCCCACCCTGGGGTAGGCAGATAATTCCTTGCCCCCCCCAAAACTTCTTTGCAAAGTTTCAGGCTGACATGGGCCCCATTGGGGCCCCCTGGGGTCAGATGGGTATATTTTACCCTGCACACTGAGGGGCACAGACACCCCCCACTGCAGGGAGATATTGGCTCAGTGGGGTACACTATTCCTCCCACAGGCACACTCTGGAGGCAGGGTCAGAAGGCTAAGGTATCCTACAAACCACAGGGGTCAGGCAGGCACCCCTACTCCCTACAGTAACTGAAGCCTGGCTACCCCAACCCTGGGTACTGACCCACAGGGTGCCCTCCTTGCCCCTCAGGACTCACACAGCCATCGGTGGCGCCTCACTGGGCTGGCTGAGGTTGTACCTCCAGAAGGTTTTCCACAGGGTCTCCACCAGGGTGAACTGTAGGTTCACCATGACGTCAATGATGGCCTGGGGAAGAGACCACAAGCTCAGAGAATATAGACTGGGCCCTGCCTCCCCTTGCCCTGCCCACCCACCCACCCACTCTGCCAGCTACCCTACCTCACAGTGTTCCCGGTACAGGACCTGGAAGGCCTTGATGTCCCCGGGCCCCACGCCCTCAGGCAGTACCTTGCCCTGGAGGTCGAGCTCTGAGAAATCAGGGAGGCTCCTGGAGGCATCTAGGGGAGGAGGGGACCCCATGAGGCCCTTTGCTCCCTTCAAAGCTCTCCCTGGGTTCCTATTAAGTCACCACCACTTGTCTACCAAGCAGGGGCCCCCCTATGCACAGTTGGGGATGATGAGGTTCAGGGAGGGCCCAGGGGTCTAGGGCTAGGAAGCACAAGACAAAGACCCTAGAGCCCAAGAGGGACCGTCAGCTAAGTGGTGACCCTGGGCTTGACCTTGGAGGTGGGACTGAGTGCAGGTTGCCCCCTGGTCCCAGTCAGTACCAAGGGACTCTGCCCTGGGCTTGAGGGCCCTACATTGAGGAGCTAGGCAGGGACAGTCACTCTGAGGCAACTCTACGAGGGGTGTCAACTTCTAACCATACCCCCCTGCAGGATGTCTGGGTCCTGTGAGCAGTGTTGTCATGCTGGACACATTGCCTGGATGTGTTGATTTCTTGGGGTTTGCTAATTTACACAGCATTATTTCACCTCCTCTTAACTGACTGGTGTTTGCTTTACTTTAAGACATTCACTTCTAGAAACAATGGACTCTATATGTCTGTCTGCCTCCTTGGTAAGGAGCCCTAACACATGGATGCCATGGCTGTACGGGCAAGGGAGCACCCATGACCAGGACTCATGAAGGACCAGAGCCTGTCCCATAAGGTCGTGGGCCATACTAATGCCTGTTGGCAGGCAATGTGGAATCCCATATAGCGTAAGTGGAACTTAACTGGAAGACTCCGGAGCAGAGAGAAATACTTCCCCTTGAAATGAACAGACTCCATCTGAGAGGGTTTCTGTGGACTCATCTACCCTCTCAAGGAAGGAGGCTAGGATGACTGATGTCATCTCTCTCTGCTCTCATTAGAGGCTGCCTGCCACCTGCTTTATAAACACATCAGGAACCTGGTTCTCTGAGAAGCACAGACCCCTCCCAGGCCTGCCCCTTCAGCCCGGGGGCTCTCACCCAGGAACTGCTGGTACTGCTGGACCTGGGCACTGATGTCCGAAAGTCCAGTGGCCTGCTGTGGCCCCACAGCCACACCATTGGTCATGCCCTCCATTTTCTGGATCGGTTTGAGCCTGGAGAAGGAGTTGGGTAGTTTTTGGATGGGGGACAGACTAGCATGCTTTTCCCCATGCTGCCAGCACTGAGGTCTGGCCTCCCTCCTACCTCTGCTTCTGTGAGAAGGGCTGGCCCCGCATGGCCATGTGTTGCTGGTCCTCCATTAGTCGTAGCAGGGGTGAGCTAGCCTTGATGCGCAGGCCGTAGTAATGGTACTTGGAGTTGCCCCTAGGAGAGACGCAGAGGGTGAGAGCTAACCCTTGAAGGTGGAACTGAGTGCAGGTTGTCCCCCACTCTGGTCCCAGTCAGTATCAAGGGACTCTGCCCTGGGCTTGAGGGCCCTGGGTTGAGGAGCTAGCCAGGGACAGTCACTCTGAGGCAACACTATGAGGGGTGTCAATTCCTAACCATTCCCCCCCTGTGGGGTGTCTGGGTCCTGTGAGCATTGTTGTCACTGCTAGAAAAGGCTAGGAAGATTGCCGAGCTGTTCCACCAGAAGCTTCACAGCATACCCCACTCCTGCTCCTCTTTGCTAGGGGCAAATGGAATATACCTCTAGAGACATTCCAGGGGTGCCTTGCTGGGAATACACAGGGGCTCTGAGTGCCAAGTCCCCACCCATTCACAAGGTAAGTAACTTCTTAACCCTTGATCCTGACTTGGGGCAGGCACTCAGCAAATATTTATTAGCTATTAGTCACAGTAGGTGCTATTCTAAGTACTTAACATATACAAATCCATGTATTCTTCATCCTTACCCTAGAAGGATGCTCTTAGCATCCTAAATTGACAGATGAGGAAACTGAGGCACAGAGAGATCCAATACTTTGCCCAGTTATGCATGCTTGAATGAATGAGGTTATGCCTTAGCTGGGAAGTAGAGTCTGGAGATGAGCAGAGCTCAACCCAGGGACTCAGGGATTGCAAAGGAGAAACAGGGAAAGGTAGATTCAAGGGACGAGTTAGTTCCTTCCTGCGTGAACACTGACTCACAGGCACTAATTAAAATTAACTGTGTGCAGCCCCTGTACTCTCAAGGCAGATATATTTCATCATTGGACAACAGATCAGAAACTAGGAGTGCCTAACACAAAAGGCATGTAAATGGTGCTATGTACTAAGAAGAAAAAGAAGCAGGGAAGGGGGCGGTGTGGGGAGTATTAGGGAGGTGGGGGTAAGGGTACAGCTTTTGTGAAGAGAGCCAGGGCACAGTTGAATAAGGAGATAAGGAAAAGCACACGAGGCGGAAGGCACAACCTGTGCAAAGGCCCTGGGGTGGAAGAGTGTATCGCAAGAACTATAAAGAAGCCAGCGGGGCTGGAGTAGAGTGAGTGAGGGCATGAGGGAGGTTACTGAGACCCTGATAATTTGGGGTAGGGGGTCTGAGGTTGTTGAGGGCTACGGGGGTGGGGGGGGAGTGGCTCCACCTGGTGCCGAGACGTCGGGTACGCAGGCCCATGAAGACGGAGCGGATGAGCTTGCCGAAGGAGGCAGCATTGACAGGCTCCAGTTTCTGCTCCTGGCAGTGCAGCAAATAGTGGCAGTAGAGAGTGCTCCTTGGCAGGCTCACGCCCTCAGCTGTCTCATAGTTATCCAGAAGCCACTGGACCTGGTGCCCCAGGGAGAACAGAAGTATGCTAAAAATCACTTTAGTTTCTCCAGTGCTCATTGCTAAGTGCTCTTCACACCTGTTTCCCATTGCCATCCTGACAACTACATTGTTGGTACATGGTCCCTATCACAATCACCCATGGGAGTTAACTCCTATGAAACTTTCTAGAACTGTACTGCCTACTACAGTCACTGCCAACCACACACAGCTATTTAAATACAAATTTAAATTAACTTATACTGAATTTATATTGAATGGAAAAGCTAATGATAAAAGGTCATGACTCCATTGAAATAGCATCATTGAAATAGCAACATTATAGAAATGGAGTATAGATTCGGGATTGCTAGGAGTTAGGGATGTTGCGAAGGAGCTAGGTGGAAGGGTCTACCGTGGGTTAGCACAGGAGAGAACTTAGTGGTGATGGAACACTGTTGCATTTTGATTGTAGTGATGGTTTTCCAAATCTACCCATGTAGATTCCTGGTTAGAGACTATACTACAGTTATATAAAATCGTAAAACATAACTAGCTCAGGAACCAGGGTGAAGGGTCACAGGGATTTCTCTACTGTTTTTGCTGCTTCCTATGTCTCTACAATTATTTAAAGAATAGTTTCCTATCTTCTGCCAAGACTTCCACCTTGGTTACGTGGTCCACACCAGGTTGTCACATGAGAGGGTAGTCCTTGAAAATGCTGAGGAGCCACTGATCCAGACCCCAAATGGGCAGGGACCACCCCAGAATCATCAAATACTAACTACCATAATCAGAGAGCTGGCGAGGGGGCCCAGTCATGGCAGGGATCTGAGGCTGTCCAAGAGACTCCATGCAGCCACTTCTATGCAAAAGGAGCTTATCTCACTGCCTTCCAGATGTTCACAGTACCTTGAGCAGGGCTCCTGCCTCTCCCTCTCCTTGCTATTTATTCAGTCACCATCAATTATAATCAGAGGAGACACTTTTTGGAGCACCACTCTTAGGACTTCATGCATATTAATTAAGGTCCAGAGAGGCTCAGTAACTTGTCTGAGGCTACAAAGCAAAGATTTACTCCCAGGCTGTATGTTCATCTGAGCACAGGTTCCCAACTGGCTGGAGGTCACCACCCGCCACCTCCATCCAAAGGAGTCCCCCCCCACCCGCCACCATACCACCTTCTATGGGGTTTGGGTAGATACTTACGGTGGCTGGTGAGGCACGGGTGGTGTGGGAGTAGGACTGGCTGGCACTGCCCAGCATGTAGCCACCTTGGATCACGTAGGTGCCAGCTGCAGTGCTACTGCTGTTGTTGCCACCGCCACTACTGCCCCCACCACTGCCTCCCCCACCGCCACTGCCTCCGCCACTGCTGCTGTTGCTGGTCCCTCCACCGCTGCTGGTGGAGCTGGCGACGACCTGGCTGCCAGACACGTACATGGGCACAGAGCCGCTGCTGGCCACCGCCTGGGAAGTGGCAGGAGTGCTGACCTGGGCAGCTGTGCCCGCAGCCTCATAGTAGCTGGTACCCGCTGTCTGCGTGTATAGCGGTGTCTCTGGATAGGGGTAGGTGCTGGAGCGGCTGAGAAAGAAATAGAGAGAAGGAGTCAGAGGGCTAGAGCTAGGGGCCAAGGGGTATGACCTAGGGGGCAACTGCTGGGGGTGCTCCCAGACAGAAAACAGAAAGAGCAGCCCCAGTATATGCTGGACCAGGCACCACCCAAGTACTTGATGGGCTATTTTCTATTTAATCCTCAAAGTGGTCTGACATGGGAGTCCCCACTTTAAATATGAAGAATCTGAGCTAGCACAGCTTGGTAAGTTGCAATAGGCCACACATTTCACTTAAATTTTTTTTTTTTTAGTATCTACTATATGCTTGGTGAACACTACTGTAGGCAAACCCATCAATGAACACAGGAGTCAGAAAAGGCCCTGCAACTGGTGGTAGTTAATATTTTACAATGTCTCTCAACTTATGATGGGGTTATGTCTGAAAAACCCACTGTAAATTGAAAATATCATAATTTGAACCATCATAAGTTGGGGACTATTCAAAAAACAAAGTTAACACACCATACTATAGAGTACCAGTTGACATAAGAGGAACCAAGTACAAAGGTAAATCGAAGGCAAGATGGGAGGTAAAGGTGGTCAGATGCCAGAGACAGGGGTTCTATTTCTAAAACTGGTATCCACCCTAGGAGGCCTTTCAGTGATGGATATCAGAATGCAGGTGCATTTTCCTTCAACTAAGAGACCTGCCCTGCCTAGAGCGCTCTTCTCCAGCTATCCCAGAATCAAGACTGCAAACTGCAGCAAGAAAATTGAAAAAACCGAGGGGAGGAGAACCACCTTTAGAAGACTATTAAGTAAAGAGTGATAAAATCCCACTAGATGTAAGAGGAAGTAGGTCTCACAGTCCTGCCAAAGAATAACCTCTAAAATATTCTGTTAATGAATAAAAGGGGTGGGAAGGGTGTGGATGATGCACAGGAAAGAAGGGGTAAAAGAATATGGACATGGAATCTCTATCTTCCAACCACTGTGGGGTTGGGGAGGGACCAGGTAGGGGGCATCTCTCTTTTCTGTCTCACTAGACATGGTTGTTTTGATTTTGAGCCCTCTCAACTTGTTAAGAACATAAAATTAGATTTTTTAAAAAAAAAGATTTATTTTTATTTATTTATACAAGCACTGGGTACAGTCAGAAGCGCCGGAGGGTGAGAGAATTCACCAGAGCCAGAGCGGGGAGCAGAGCAGGCAGAAGGACTGAAGTACACTGCTGAGGGGAGCAGCGGGCAGCAGGAGAGGTCTGCACGCCATATGGGACCCTCCTCCAGTGGCCGGGGAGCAGCTGGGGATCGAACTGGTGCTGCCGAGGCTGCGGGCAGCTTCGCAACCCAGCGCTCAACCGCTGCGCCACCAGGGAGGCCCTAAAATTAGATTTTTAAAAACCAGAAAGGTAGTGAGGGTGGTTAGGGGCAGCCTGGCTCAGAAGGTGCTATTGAAGCAGCTTCCTGAAGGAGGAGGAGGGGGAGCCTTGCAACCCTTTGGGAATAAGGAGAGAGTTGGTGAGGAGGGAGGTATAGTCACTTCAAGTGAAAGGCTCTGACCCTCAGACCCCAGGGTGTAGCTCTTGGTCACTAACCCTGTCTATATCTAAGACATGAGGGACATTGAGGGTCCATGAGCTGAACCAGCACTGGAAAACCCCCCTAGCAGGGCCCACAGCTAGTCCAGTTCAGTATCCTGCACACAACAGGCACTCCAAAAACATTGCTTTGACAGCTGTCTGCTGGAGAACTGAATAAATGATAAATGGGTAGGGCCAGAGACAGAGGCCCAGGGCTGGCATCCAGGCTGGCAAAGGGAGAGAGAGGTAGAGTGCCCCCAAGAACATTACACAGCAGAAGAATGGGATGAACCACATGTCATCACACATACTATAATCACAGGAGGAGGACCTCAATCAGAAAGCAAGGACAGACACTATCAGGAGAAGCAGAAGGAGTTGCCCTGGGGCTGCAAGAACTGAGCACATGACTCAACTCCACTTCTAAAATCCCAAGGGACACTTGAGGGCTTATCTCTCTGGAATGTCCTCTGTGACCCCTGCCAGCTCTGGTCAACTGCACAGCTCAGAGACTGGCAGCACTGGAAATAAATGGATAGAACTGTGAAGTAGCTAGATATACAGGTGTGTGGCCACATACCTAGCGGTCAGCCACAACATTTACTCTATACCCCAAGCATCATGCCTAAAGGGACAGGTGGCAAGGAGTTAGAGCCAGTGCTAGGGCAAGCCTGGTCATGGCATCTCCCTGATGTGGCACATGTTAATGCTATGCCACGGGCAGTGACTACATTTGGACTGGCCTCATCGTTCATGCTGTGTTTGTATGTGTAATGTTATGCAGCAGTTAGAGAGGTAACAGGCAAAACCTCCAAAGACTAAATCAGGAAGAAAAAGAAAATTTCAGTAAACCAATCCAAGCATAATACTGAAACAGTAATGAAAGTCTCCTCCCAAAAAAGCCCAGGACCAGATGGTTTTACTAGTGAGTTCTAATAAGCATTCAAAGAGGAACCAATACTCATCCTCCTCAAGCACTTCCAAAAAAAATCAAAAAAGAGGAAACACTTCCAAATACATTTATGAGCCAATATTACCCTAATGCCAAAAGAAGACAAGGATACCACACCAAAAAGGAAACCACAGATCCCTAATGAATGAACACAGGTGAAAAATTCCTCAATAAAATCTTAGCAAGCCCAATTCAACAATACATTAAAAGGATTATACATCATAACCAAGTGGGATTTATTCCAGGGATGCAAGAGTGGTTCAACATCCATGAATCAATCAATGTGACTCGCCACATGAACAAAAACCAAAAAATCATATGATCATAGATGCAGAGAAAACATGAGAAGATCCAACATTCATTCATAATAAAAACTCTCAATAAAAAGGAACTAAAAAGCATATGCCTTAAAAATAATAAAGGCCATATGCAATAAACCCAAAGTTAACATCGCACTAAATGGAAAAAACATTTTCCTTAGGGGACAGCTTTTCCTCTACGATAAGGATGCCCATTTTCACCACTACTATTCAACATAGTATTGGATGTCCTAGTTAGAGCAATTAGGCAAGAGGGGAAAAAAAATAGAATCCAAACTGGAAAATAAGAAGTAAGATTATCACTATTTGCAGACGATATAATAATATACATAGTAAAACCCTAAAGACTTCACTAAAAAACTATTGAAAATAACAAATCAGTGCCATAAAGCAGCAAGCTGTAAAATCAATATACAAAAGTCTTTTGTACTCCTATATGCAGACAACAAACTAGAAGAGAAAGAAATCAACAAAATAATCCCATTTACAACTTCGTTAAAAAGAATTAAGTACCAGGCCTCCCCGGTGGCGCAGCGGTTGAGCGCTGGGCTGCGAGGCTGCCCGCAGCCTCTGCAGCACCAGTTCGATCCCCTGCTGCTCCCAGGCCACCGGAGGAGGGTCCCACATGGCACATAGACCTCTCCTCTGCAGCGCTGGTTTGATCCCCGGCTGCTCCGCGGCCACCGGAGGAGGGTCCCACATGGCGCGCAGACCTCCCCTGCCGCCCGCTGCTCCCCTCAGCAGTGTGCTTCGGTCCTTCTGCCTGCTCTGCTCCCCACTCTGGCTCCGGTGAATTCTCTCACCCTCCGGCGCTTCTGACTGTACCCAGTGCTTGTATAAATAAATAAAAATAAATCTTAAAAAAAAATTTATTAAAAAAAGAATTAAGTAGGAATTAAGTAAGAATTAAGTAGGAATTAACAAAGGAGGTAAAAAACCTATGGAATGAACTATAAGATATTAAAGATACACAGAAATGGAAAGATAATCTCATGGGCTGGAAGAATTAACTTTGTTAATTAAAATGGCCATCATATCCAAAGCAATACACATATTTAATGTAATTCCTATCAAAATTTCTTCGAGGAAATAAAGCAAATATTACTTCAGTAATATTTTATATGGCATCCCAAAAGAGCTTGAATAGCCAAGTTAATGATAAAAAAAGGAACGAAATTCTCAAATTTCAAATTATACTACTAAGCAGTACTAATCAAAACCGTGTGATATTGGAATAAAAACATATCAATGGAAATAAAAACAGATCAATGGAATAGAATTGTGTACCCAGAAATAAAACCACACTTATATGGGCAGTAAATTTATGACAGGAGCCAAGGACATATAATAGAGAAAAAGTCTATTCAATAGAGGTGTTGGGAAAACTGCATAATCACATGAAAAAGCATGGCACTAGGCCACTATTGCACACCATATGCACAAAATGAACTCAAATGGATTAAAGACTTGGATATAACCATAAAACAAATAGAAGAAAACATATACAAAATGCTCCGAGGCGTCAGTGATATATTTGGAGAATGGTCTACAATGGCAAGGGAAACAAAAACAAAAACAAACCAGTGGGACTATATCAATTAAAAAGCACCTGCACAATGAAAGAAACTATCATTAAAATGAAATGACACCCCACTGAGTGGGAGAAAATATCTGTACATCAAACATCTGAAAAGGAGCTAATGTTCAAAATGTACAAAGCACTCACATAACTAAATAAAAAGAAAAAAATAACCCAATCAAAGAATGGGCAGAAGAGCAGAGCTACAGACACTCCTCCGAAGAAGTCATATAGGCACAAGAAAAAATACTCATTATCATTTGTTATCAGGGAAATGCTAATCAAAACCACAGTGAGATACTACTTCACTCCTGTGAGAATGACTCATACCAAAAAGACCAGAAACAAGTGTTGGCGAGGATATGGAGAAAAAGGAACCCTGTACATTGTTGGTGGGAGTTTAGACTAGTCAAGCCTCTATGGAAAACAGTATGGAGTTTTATCCAAACATCAAAAATAGGTCCACTATATAACTTGGCAATCATTCTTGTAGGAATCTACCCTAAGAATACAAAAACATGAATTCAAAGGAATATATGCACTCCTATGTCCACTACAGCACTATTTATAGCAATCAAGTTATAGAAATAACCAAAATGCAAATGCCAGATGAGTGGATAAAGATGTTGTATATATACACAAAGTGGAATAGTACTCAGCTATAAAAAATAAAACAAAGCATGGAATCTTGCCATTTGTGACAAGGATGGAACTGGAAGAGATTATGCTGATTGAAATAAGTAAAAGGAGAAAGACTAATACCAGATAATTTTACTCAGAGGTAGTGTGACTGGTAGGACTATAAAGAAACAAAGCAAGGACACAGATAAAAACAAATCCTTGAAATCTGACTGCAGAACTGGGGATACCAATGTGTCAGGGAACAGGAGGTAACACTGGTGGGGGAGGGGCCCAATGGACTATGGTAGAGGATTATTGGGACTTGGGTGGGGTGTGTGTGTGTGTGTGTGTGAGTGTGTGTGTGTGTTAAAGCATACATTTGTAGAGGTGTGATGCTACATCCCTAAAAACACAGTGTTATAAACCTTTCCCTCAATAAACATAGTAACAAAAAGAAGTTGACAGGGACCCACATGGACAAACAGGGGAAGAAATAAGGGACAAGACAAGTTGCCTCAAATTCTGAACAAAGAAAGGGAGTAGTTTCTATTCTCAGAGGATTTTTGGGAGGAAACAACAGATAAGGAGAGCATCCCCTTTGCAGCAGGGTTGGGGATCAGGAGACAAGGATTATTTTTTTCATTGTTCAACATTCCCCATTACTTAGTAATGTTTATCTTGAAGTTTTTAAAATCTGTCTTTGCTGTTCTTGGTTAAAAACCAGGGACCTCCCTGGTGGTGCAAGGGGTTAAATCTCAGCACTATGAAGCTATCGGCAGCCACTGCAGGAAGAGCTCGATCCCCCACCAGGGAGCAGACCTCTCCTGTCTCACCAGCTGCTCCCCTCAGTAGTGTATTTCAGTAGATCTGGCTATTCTGTTCCCCATTCTGTCTCTGGTGAATCCTCTCACCCCCCCCCCCCACCTCTGGCCTACACCGCAGCTCCTGTATGCATAAATAAAAATAAATCTTTAAAATAAAAAACAAAACACCAGGCCATCTGACACTACAAAGCCCTAAATTATGCTGGATGGCTTTCCTAACTTTCAAGGGTCTCTGTTTCACCCCTGCGTGGTGGCTGATGCACACCTATCTGTCATGTGAGGCCTTGAAGATTGGCTGGTCAGCTGGGGGCTGGGACTGGGAGTTTCTGAGCAAACCCAATCCCTTTTTCTATCCTTGAGCCCCACCCCCTCCAACTCACATGGCGTTGGCTGTGTAGCTGGCATCACCACCCTCCACATACTGCACTTGGCTGGAGTATACGTGTGGCACAGGCACCTGCTGGAGCTGTTGCACCTGGTGAGGAAGGAAGTGCAGATAGAGGGTCGGGGCAGGCCACCTCTGCCTCTGAAGGCTGGCAGCTGCCCAACCTTGTCTAGACACCTGGGTCCCCAGCTGAAAGGCTGCATCTCTGGACTCTGAATACCCAGCTAGTGGTCAGAGGCTCAGAGTGTACAGCCTGGGGGGCTGGGGAGGAGTGCTGGGAATCAGGAGGAGCTGTGTCAGAAGCCATGACTCTGGCAGAGGACAGTAAGGGTGGGCGCCTGAGGTGAAGCAAGAGATGGAGACTCCAGACTGGGTCCTACTGTGGGCGTGAAAGGTGGACCCCTGCGGCAAAACCAAGCGCCAAGGCCCTAGCTAAAATTTGAGCCTGGAATTAGCTAGGGCCTCAGACTTGCAGACTTCATCAGACCCACCCCTGCCTACCGGGGCGGGGCTTGGAAACAGCACCGGATATTAGGGGTGGAGCCAGGGGCAGGATCCCGGTAGGAGGCACCTAACCTGGAACTGACCAGACCTTAGAAGGGGATCTGGCTCCCCTCCTCCAGCCCCCCACCCCCCAACACGGACCCCTGTCTGTAGAGGTGGAGCCTGGGACCCAGAACTCGCTTTGAGGGGTGGTGTCAGAAGCCGGTCCCTAGAATGGCGAGGCAGGGGTGGGGTCTACAGGGACTGAGGCCGGGGCGGAGCCCGCCCCCGCCCGCCTGTTACCCACCCCCCAGCCGCCCCCAGCCCGTGCGTCCGCCACCTACTTTGAGGGCCGTGGCGGCCGTGCCGAACACTAGCACCTGGGGACTCTCTGGATCCTGACCCTCTGGTCGGGGCTGGCTCGGGCCGGGAGCCCAGGTAGGGGCTCGAGCACCACTTTCTGCTGCGGCAGGAGCAGGTGCGGGGGCAGCACGCCCACCAGCTCCACCCACTGCTCGGCGCCCGGCTCGTAATGGGGTGGCGGTGGCTCGTAATGGGGCGGCGGTGGCTCAGGACTGCCTAGCTGCGGAGCCTCGCCGCTGCACGAGGGCGGGAGCGGCGGCTCCTGGACCAGAGCGCCCGGCCCGGGCCCGGCCCGGGCGTGGGCTGCCGGGGCGGCGGCTCCGGCGGCGGCGTGGGCCGGGGCTCTTGCTGCTCTGCCTTCCTAGCGGGAAACTGACTGCCTGAGCTCTGGAGGACAAACAGAGACACTGAAGGGTCACTGGGGTGAGGTGGCAGCGGGCGGGGCTCTAGGACCCCCACCCCTGCTGTCATCCCCAACCCCCGCCGCCCCCAGGGTTGCTGGGCTCCCGACCAGTGGATGCCCGCCCCGTGTCTCAGGGAGGGAAAATCCAGACCTCTCAGCAAAACCTGGTCCCCGAACAGTGGGTGCCAGTAAGGGGAGTGGTCCAGGACCAGGGCTGCAGCCCATAGCCCCCCAGTGGGAAGCAAGGAGCCAGGCTGGGGCCCCAGCTGCCTTGCCTTGAGAATCCCTGGAGGTGGCTCCATTCCCTCCCTGTGGTCTGAGGGGCCTGCACCGCTCCCAAACCCAATTTGGCCCAGAGCTAGTTCGGGAGACACCTACCTCTTGGGCCACATGGACAGGCTGAAGCCCCTGCACTGTGAGCTGCTGCACAGGGCCGGCTTTGGGTGCTTGGGGAGTAGCCTGGACCACTGTCCTCTGTGGAGGGAAAGGCAAGTCTGGTAACCCGTGGTGGTGACGGCCCACCTGTCCCTGAGCATCTACCCCCAGCCCACATGAACCTGTGTAAGCCTCACAGCTTTCATCCCCCAGTCAAGGAAGGGCAGCTTTTCACTGCCACAGGTACCAAGCACCTTCCAAATTCATTACCTACCTCTGGCAGCCCAGTTACACGTGTGGAACCTGGGCTCAGCAAGGTGAGACTGACAGGAAGTGGTGAAGTTGAAGTTGAACTTGGAACTGAGGGAATCCTCTCTCCACGCCCCACCCCCCCAACACCAGTTTATCCTACATGGACCTTGCTCACAGGACAGAGGCTGGATGAAAGGATGTGGAGGCTGCTGGGGGTCCAGGACTTGAACCCAGATCTGGCAGTTCAGAGGGACTTTGGTGCCAGGCATGAGAATATCTGAATCCTTCGGGTTTCTGCTTTCCTCTGAGAAAAGGATCTATAGCTTTCATCAGTTTTCCATATGGTTGGGAACCACCCTCCCAACTTGAATGGTCCACAACTGAAGAGCAGACAACCCTTGTCTCTTAACCAGTTCTGGCCACATGGCTGGTGACTCAGAGTGTTGACTCCTCCAGAAGGCTGGGTGTGGATCTGTAAGCTTCAGCCCCTCACCGAGTCCTTAGAGGTGAGCTAGGACTAGAGGCTTCCTTCAGGCAAATGGGCCCAAGGAGGCCAAAATTCTTTCTCACAACTGCTTCCAGTGCGTGTTCTGTGTTCCAGGGGCCATATTTCATCCCTACAGGAGCTCCCCCACACCCCAGGATAGCCAGCATTTTCTAGACTAAGATGGTGGATCTGGAGAGGCTGTACCCCCAACTCCTCAGCTCTCACAGGCCTCCCCCTGTGCCCCAATGGCTGCAGGGGCAATCTGGTCGGGACCCCTTGACCCCGCTGTTGCCCGCCTTGTTCAGTCACCTCTTGGGTGACGGGCACACTCTGCTGGACACCATGGACCTGCAGCTGCTGTGGCACCGTGCCTGTGGGGGGCCCGGCTGTCTTGCTGGAGTTGTTGGTCTGCACTGGTGACCGCTGTAAGAGAAGGAGACACAGGGGAAGCAGCATTGCCTAGGGTACCTGAGCCCTAAAAAAACCTTGGGAGGACTGTCCCAGAAATCTATAGGGGAAAGTGGCAGCCATTGGGGGTGCCTAGGCCACTGAGGGTGCCTCAACTACCTGTTAACTGAGGACATCCCATGCATCCAAATGAGTAGTCCCTGTCACAGCCCTGGGGAAGTCTGGGGGTTCAGCTCAGAGGTGCTAGGGGGGAGCCCCATCTTCTCCCAAGGAGGAGGGCCAGGACTCTAGCCTCAGATCAGGGACCACCTGCTGTTTCAAAACCGGAGGGGCTGTAGCCCCAAGGTGACAAGGGAAGCTGAGGGAATCCCCACTTTCCAGATGGGTGCTGAGGCACAGACCAGAAGGGACATGCCCATGGCCATATAGCTGTGAGTGATGTCACCAGGCAGCTACAGAGCCTCTGTTGACTCTGGGCTATGCTGGCCTTGGGATGTAATTCTCACAATTACAAATTACAACCCAATTAATGATATGCTGCTGGTATCATAAGCTGTTTTACACATAGAAAACTCTAGGTTCATAAGGATCCAAGGGCCTTCCCAGAATCCCGTAAGAATAAAATGGTAAAGTCAGCAGTCTGACTCCAAGCTCTGATACCAACAACCATGGGCTGCCTGCCTCTGAAACCCTCATTGGCATTCAAGCCATCCCTCTCTATGGTCTGAAGGGGTGCCTCTACCTGCCTTGTAGAAGGAAGAGGGGTCCATTTTGCTTCCTGGGATGCAGGAACTCAGCTGGAGCTTCAAGGCCCACTCCACTCTGGAGTCACTTCCTCCTTTTAGAGTCGGGCTTAGCTCAGAACCCACTGGACCAGGAAATGGTTGACAAAGCCACCCCGCGAGGGGCCAATGAGGATGTCAGTACTAGCAGTGGAGTGGGCAGGAGGACTTTGGAGGAGTGGTATGGGAAGCAGGGAGCTCTAATACAGTGTCAGGGTACATGGGTGACCTGGGAAGAGGGAGGCTGCTAGTGCTATTACCTACCTCGGGGGGTGAATGCACCGTCAGGGAGACTTGGCTGCCTTTGCTGCTGGGGGCAGCGCTCTGCACCACCAGCCTCTGTGTGGGAAGAGCCTGAGCCAGGAGGGAAAGGACCACAATGAACCAAGGATGGTCCAAAAGGTTTCTAACAAGGACATGCGTTCAGGTGACATATTTCTTCATGTCTCTTAGCACACAGATTCACCCAACAGCTGTGACAGCCCTGTCATTACTCTACTTCACCGTCACTGCCAGATTCAGAATGGCAAAGGCTGGGGTTGAGGGTAGGGTGTCCGGCAGCCCATAAATGGCAAGGCTGGAGAGAACCTGGTCACACAGGTCACACAGAAGATGCTCTCCCCTTTGAAGTCTGAAAGGACTCTACCCCTTGCTATGCCAAGCCCTGGCACCCTGTCTACAGCCTTCCAGTAGCCCAGTCTTGTGCTGCCTATGGGCTCCCACAACCTGACTGGCCTTGTGTGCTCTTTCATGGGGTGCAGAGGCCGGACATACTGCCAATCCTCCTTCCCTCTAGGCTGACTCCTGACACTGTCTCTCTGCTGGAGGCAGCAGGTAGTGCCTCTGTCCTTGACAAGGCAAAGGCAGAATCAAGCAGGTCACAGGGGTGGGTTCCGAGCCTTGAAGAAGGCTGCCAGGGGTGGGTGTGGTGGCTTACCTGCTGGGGCACAGGGATGTTGGTGAGCTGAAGAGGTGACACATGGCCTGGCTTGGCCTGCACACTTGTCTGGACCAGCAGTCGCTGCGGGGGCAGAGTAAGCGCCTGAGCCACGCCGGCTTCCCCAGAGAGGCCCTGGGTAAGTGGAGGGGCAGCTGGGGTGAACATCTTAGTAAGAATAGGTGAACAGATGGTTCTGGTGGCAGGGTGGGAGCGGAAGCCAGGTACCTGTGGCCACCACTGCCCCCCATCACGTGCTCTCCCCACCCACCCCTGGAGGAAGGATACATCCTACCTGTTGGGCGCCCTGTACTTGTTGAACCACCTGAGTGGGGACTCCGGTCTGGCTGGCCGTGGAGCCTGGACTGGCCTCCGACACGGTCTCACTGGCCCGCATGGTGCCTTCTGTGAGGAGGGGTCATGGGATCAGCTCTGCCTGCTGCCCGGTTCCCACCCTGAGCCTGAGTCTGGAGGGGATGATGCAGCCCAAAGCTGACCCCTAACAGGGCCAAACCCTCCTCTAAGAGTCCTGTCTGCCCTGGTCAACCCTAACTTTGCCCACTGGGGTGGGTAAGGGCCAGGAGGACCCAGATCTTTATCATTCAGAATCATCCCCACTCTTCCCTTCCCCTCCCAAAGCCAGAGCAGAAGGAGTGACCAAGGAGCTGTGATATAGCAGAGGCCCAGAGGGCTGAACCCTTCTTCCTAACAGATAGGACTTGACAACTGACAGTTATTGACCCCCGCCATTACCCTGGAAGGACCAAGGAGCTGGGGCCCCTTCCCTGAGATGAACCCTTACTTCCCAGGGATGGAGGCTACCAGAGGAGTGGCATTGCTGGTGTGTGGCCAAGTGCCCCCTCCCTCTCCATTGTCTTATCCTCTCTGTCCTCAGCTCAATGGAGACAGCAGGGGGCTTGGAGTTGGGAAGGTGGGTACTCACGCTGACAGGCAGACGAGAAGCAGCAGTCATAGAACATGATGCCCACCTGCTTCTACCCTGCCCCAGCCCCAAGTCCATCCAATGTCTGGCACAGCTCACTCCTGGCCCACTCTTTGGGAACATTAGGGCGTGCAGGCAGCTTTGTACCTGCAACCTTGGGGAGCTAATCCCACACTGTGGATGCACAGCTCCCATCTGCCCTCTTGGAATAAACACCCCCCTCCCGGCAGGCCCAGCCCAAGCGGGGCCTTCATAGGGGCTGAGGCTGTACTGCAGGGTCAGGAGGGAGGCTGGTACCAGAGATGCTATCAGTTGGTTGGGCGAAGGTCGAGTTTCCTGCACATCTTCCTGAGTGATTAACAGGCAAGCTGGGGTGGGGGTGAGGGGCAAGGAGGGTGAGTATGGGTGAGTATCCCTTAGAGGCACCGGCTGTGAGACCCTCACCCTGATCCTCTTCCCCCCCAAACCCCCCAGCAGTTCCAAGGGTGGGGCTGGGTGTACACATGCCTGCCTTTCCTCCAAGGTGCTGCCAGAAGGAGCCAAGGTCTCAGCTCCATCTCCTGGGGACCCCTAGCAGGATCAGGAGGCGGTGAACAAGGAGTGACAGGAGTCACTGAGTGCTTCTGGTGTCCCAGTGCTGCGCTAGGTCTTCCTGGGCAGCCAGAAATGGGAAGAATTTTTATTGCCCCCATTTTCAGATAAGGCAACAGAGACAGGGAAAAATTAAGTGACTTAGCCAAGGTCACGTAGCTGAGAACCAGCAGGCCAGGATAGAGGCCCATGTCTATACCTATGTGCACCTCCTAATATGCATGGAACCCAGTATCAGGTCATCCGAGGACTCAGTTTCCAAAGGAGGGAGATGAGCTTTGGCTGTGTAGGGACAAGGAAGCGTCTGGGCCAGGCAGAATGGCTATCACAGATGCAAGGAGACTTCAGGGACCAAGTCTAGAGCAGAGACAGGTGGGGGTTGTGTGTGTGTGTGTGTGTGTGTGTGTGTGTGTGTAGGATGTAGGAGGAGGTATCAGGGAGCCTCCCATTGGCCCCACAGCCTGGCCATCTGTGCGGCAGACACTGGGATAAAATGAAGCCTGCTTGACCAGATACCTCTGAGGCACTGATTTTCCTATGTTTTGCTGGAATCTTCCCTCTAATCCACTTAGTCTCCCCTGAGTAATGAGGGAGGAGGCCCTTGCGAGTCAGCCCCCCTGGGACAAACCTGTAAAAGGCCAGAGTCATGTGAAGGGCTCCCCGCATCTGGGTGTTTGCAAGGAACAGGAAGCCAGGTCTAGCCTGAGGGAAGCCAATGGTAGGTTCTGCTTGGCTCAGGGTAGGCAGCAAGTATGGGGCCAGCCCCAGCTAATTTCTAGTCCTGGAGATTCTGATGAAAACACCAAGGCTGATCCTTGAGGGTGACCCTCAGCAGCTGGAGGCCTGGGGTCCTGCCTGGAACAGAAAAGCCCCAGAAGCAGTCTTGCCCATCTCCTGTCTCTGGGGTGTCACTCAAGACTGGGACCCCCATGCTTACCAGGCCAGATGGGCTCTGCCACGAAGATAAACAGGTGAGGTTCAAAGTCTACTCTTCAGACCAGGGGCTTCTCATGTGTGCATCCCTGTCTGCTGTAGCCAAGGCAGGGCCAGGCCACTGTATCTTTCTTTCCCTAGCTGTGTCTGTATATGTGAGTCTGTCAGCGCCTGCATCTGTCTGCCTGTCATACCCCTTCTGGGCATGAGCCAGGGAGGGCCCCACTGTCTCAAGTCTCTTACAGGAAGTGGCAGCTGATTTCCTGTCCCTCAATCTGATGAGCGTCTCTTCCTCCCCAGCCCCCGCACTTCCCCATCAAGACCTACTTATGCCTCCAATGCCACTAAAGCTTGATGGAGAAGACTGCGGGAGGCTGAGATGACTGGGTGCCCAGCTGGGGCCCTCTTCCTTCACCACTGGGTTGGCCCATTCTCTCTTTTCATTGATTTCAGTCAGGGTTCCTGGGAGAACCTCTAAGTTCCTAATGCCCTCACGGTCCTGTGACCCTTGTCCACTCCAACCTTAGTTTACCCACCTGTGCTTGGGGATTCTGACAAACACCACCCATGTCCTTCTCCCAGGCACAAGGTTCTTAGATGCCCAAGAACTCCAAGGAGAGAGAAGCAGGAAAGAGAGGGTGGATGTGGCCCCTCATCTGTCAGCCTGATCCCCTACAGGCAGGTTGGCTTTCACCTACCTGGGGGGATGCCAGGCTCCATAGCACCTCTGCCTCAAATTTCAAGTGGCCTCTGAATAGGGATTTATGGATCTAGAGGATTGTTTCTGAGTAGGGAAACTTGAGCTGCTGTTCCATCATCTTCAAAGTCACCTTAAGGCAGAGCTGGCAGGGACTGGGCTGCATGAACTGCTTTCTGGTGCTGCTCCTGGCAGGATTCCAGCCTGAACTCAGGATCTGGGTCCAGGGCCCCTCCCTATGACTCCCTGGCTCCCTGGTCAGCTCAGATTGCTTCTGGCACTAGAAGGGCTCCAAGCACCTTGCTGTAGCCTTCACTGATATCAGTTACCCCTCCCCACCCCATGGGACCAGCTCATGTGGCCCAAAGGCTGCCCTGAAAAGAAAATGGACACTAACCTGGGAGAGAAACATGGAGGAACCTTGGGAAACCTTCCTTTTCTTCCTCAGAATAAATTAAGGGAGCATCACCCATTTAACCTTCTGGTGACAGACTCACTCCTGCCAGAGCCAGGAGCAGCAAGGAAATGCAATTCCCCAGAACTACTGTGACAGATGATTAAGCCACAGTCCTACCAAGGAATGAAACCCAAGTCACACCAACAGCCCCGGACAAAGGAGAGGTCACCTGTGTAGGTGCCACAACTAGATAAGAGTCCAGCTGGGTCTGTATGACTCAAAGACCACATGTGCCTTGATCTCTAACCACTGGGGCCTCCTTGGGGAAGCACCAAGGAGTTGGAAAAGCCAAGGGAAGAGAGGAGGAGGGCTGGGACTTAGGGTTCTTTTGCAACCTGGCCCTGTACCCACTCCAGATCCTCCCCCTCTGGGGACTGTGACCAGCTGGACCAGGACCAATCTCAGATGGCTGAGGGTATGAGCAAAGCTCTCTAGTGGCAACAGGCGCCTCTTATCCACTCTCAGCTTTCCAGGAGCTTTTCAGGTCAGCATTCACACAAGACTTCACCAATCATTCCACAAAGACTGACTGGACAGAGCCTTGGCCTCATGGATAATGGGCATGGCATCATCACTATCAGGTGGTGTGACAGGTTATGAAAAATAAAGTAAGGAGACAGGGAGTCAGCAGTACAGGAGTGGGCATCAACAAGGTGGCATCTGAGCAGAGACATCACGATTGATAAGACCATTGGAAGGTCAAGAGTCCTGTAGGTGTGGGAAGGCCAGGAGACTGGACTGAATCTGGTGGATGTGTGGAATAGCAGGAAGGCCAGTACAACAGTAGCAGTGTGCAGAGGACCAGGCCGGGCTGGGAAGTCAATAGGCCTGAGCAGGAGAGTGGGCATATGTGAGCAGGGGAGATGGCAAGTGCGGGGCTTTTAAAGTTCTTCCCTGTGGGAGGGATCCCAAGGGGCCAGCTCTCCTGGAGCCCAGAAAGCCCAGACTATGGTTTCTCAGACACAGCCCCCAAGGCTGTGACAGGACCTCATCTGCGGTTGTCCACAGGGTCTCCCGGCTGTGGTTGCAGAGGTGGGCTATGAAGGATGACAGTGGCAGTTGGGCCAGGGTGGAGGCTGGCAGGTGGGAAAGGTTCTGGCTAGATTTAGTAGGAGGAGCCAAGAGGCCATGTTTGCTACTGGGTGGGTAGGACAGGCATCTAAGCTAACCCAGGTATTGAGGTGATATTTACTAGAATAGGGAAATCTCAAAGGATGGCAGATTTGAGGAGGGGGAAAACCCAGCCTTCTATTCGGCCACGTTGGCATGAGAGGCCGGTTTAACTGTGAATGTGTCACAGGTGGGTGGGGTTCAGAGTCAGGACCCTGGGTATAGATCTCAATGTGGGCACTGTCACATAGAGGTGGCATCAAAAGTCAAGACAGGGCCTCCCCGGTGGCACAGCAGGTTGAGTACAGTGCTGTGAAGGTGTCTGCAGCCTCTACAGCGTGGGTTCAATTCCCAGCTGGCCAGAGAGAGACATACATGGTACGGCAGACCTCTCCTGCCTTGCGCCCTGCTCCCCTCAGCAGTGTCTTCGGTCCCTCTGCCTGTTCTGCTCCCCACTCTGTCTCTGGTGAATCCTCTCACCCTCCCCCACCTCTGGCCTGTACCCCAGTTCTTGTATAAATAAACATAAATCTTAAAAAAAAATTAAAAAAAAAAAAACCACACCAAAACCAAACAAACAAAAAAAAGTCGAGACACTGGGAGATGAAGGGAGAGTAGGGCAGAGAGGTGGGGCAGAGAGGTGGCCCCAAGTCTGATGAGTCATTGCTAACAAAGCTGGGAGAAGAGGAAAAAGCAGTGAAGGGGAATAAGGGCAGCAGGGAGGTGGGCTGAGACCAGAGCAGAAACATGTGCCAGAGGAAAGAACAGCTTATCAGACACTGCCAAAGGCCACAGAAGAATTGCCATTGTCAGTGTATTGACAATATGGGGGCTGTACAGGATCCCAATGGAGGCATAAAGTAAGGAAGGGAGGGTGAAGCTTTTGAAGAATTTTGACTTAAACCAAAGTGAAGACTGAGGTGGCAGGTAAAGGGGTTGCAGAGCCTGGGATCCTGTTTCATTCTTGTGGGCCTTTGGGAAAGATTGTCAGGAGAGTGCTGAGGGCTGATGGCAGGATTAAGTCCTAAACAGGGTGGTCCATGATAGGTAGGGCTAATGCAATCTGCCAACTGGGAGAAGGCAGAGCTGGTGGATGCAGACAGATTCCAAGGCCTGGGAAGCTAGTTGCAGGGAAGACAGGTCTTTTTTGTCATTGGGGCCTAGCCCCTAGTGAGGTCAGTAACAAGGTCGGGGTCAGCAGCACAGAGTGAGACAGGTGGAGGTGAGGGAGAGTGGGGGATACATCCAAGAGGAAACAGTAGATCACTATGCAGTGCTGAAAACCCACAGATTTGTGGCCTAGAGACACTGGCCACAAACTGACCTGGCCTTGACTCTGTGCTTAGCAAGGCTCTCACTCGACATCCCTCCATGACATCGTTCCATGCCAGTCCATGTGGTAGTCACTGACAGGAACCTCCAGGACATTGCCCAGGGCCCCAGTGGCACCTGCCTGGTCCCATGGAGCCACATCAATTGCTACATATTCAACTTGATTCTCCTATCGTCCTAAAACTTGATCCTGACCTGCCCTTTCCACAGCCTCTGAAGATGGGGGATGTTCTCAGGATCCCTGCCACCAACTTTTCCACTCTAGAAGGTCTGGGCCTAGTCTCAACACAGGGTTTTACGACAGCCACCCCCCTTCCCTCCGTAGAGCACACTGCAAATGCCACAATGCCCAGTCCTGGTCTGAATCCCATCTTTTCCCCCAGGGAAGTGACTGCCAGGCCTAACCTTCCCCTCTGGTTCCCTCTGCTCAATCCATCCAGATCCTGGGAAGAAGTAGAGCATGGGGAAGTTGTTCCAGGTGGAAACCCTGGGCTCCAAGACCCCAGCTTTCTGGCTATTTTCTCCATGGGCTCAAGGAGAAGTCAGAGGGATAAATAGAGGCCACATGCTTTTGAATTTGCCCAGCTGGTAATCCCCCTGAGTTTCTGGGTCCTGCCAGATAAGAAAAGGCCCCTCCTGAAAGGAGGTAATTCCTCTGGTCCCCCAGCCAACCTCATCTCCTAAGAGCACAAAACCATCATGATGCCTTTATGTGGAAACTGAGGCAGAGTAGCTGAGGGATGGTGAGTCTCAAGGCCAGACCTACAGTGCAGTGGCCATGGGTTCACCCTCTGTTTCCAGCAGATGTCTGCCAATTTAAATCCACTTCCCAGTCCTTTCTTCAAGTGACAGCTTGCTTGGGGACACAGACAGAAACAGCTGTAAGAGCTGCTGTGGTGTGAAGGAGTTGGGGGCATGGAGGCCTCCCTGCTTGACCTTATTGTTCCTTTCCCAGAATGCCCCCAAATCCCACCCAGGAACCCCAGCAAATTTGAACCTGCCATGCATGCTGATGACAGGCACAGAAAGTGATGGAGGGCATCACTGAGGCCCCACGTCCAGGATGCTGGGCTGTGCAAACTCCTCCTGGAGTTGTTCGCAGAGCACCCTGGCTCTGGACACATAGCCACTTACCGGAGACGGTGACCACAATGTACTGCTGGGACACTGGGGTTGGGGTGGGCGCACCGGCTGGCTGTGATGGCGTTGGGGCGGCTGGGAGCTCCGTCACATACTGCTTCTGGCCACCCGGTGGCTGTGCCTGGGGCTGGGGACTCTGGAGCTCCGTGACATACTGGGGCTGGGGGGTGGTAGCGGTGGGTGGCTGGGGAGGCTGGGGCGCCGCTGGTGGTGGTGGTGTCAGCTGGGGCTGGGCCTGTTGTGGGGCCTGTGGCGGCTGGGATGGTTGTGGAGCTGCCTGTAGCTCAGTAACATACGCCTGTGTTGCCATGCCAACAGTGGGGAAATGATAATAAATAAGGCTTTTTTTTCCTTCCTTGGGAAGAAGGGGAGGGGAGAGGAAGAAAAGAAAAAAGAAGGGAAAACACGAATTAATCTACAAGTAAAGGAAACGAGGGACAGTTTTCCCTGGAGACACATTTGGGTTCATCACTAACTTAATTAAATCCCGAGGCTGGTGGCCAGATATAACCAGTCCATCTGCAGGGGAACTGAGGCTGGTCTGTACATCTTCTACTCACCCCTGGCAAGGACTGCTGCTTCTTTCTTCCCAGTCCTAGGTGCCTGGGGGACCCCTGTGTGGGGTGAGGGGATGATGAGTAGGGCCCTCCCCCAGAGAAAAATGGTACAGTTCCCTTAAGGGTTCTGGTAGGCTGGACACTGCATTGAGGACTTTTTTTTTTTTTTTTAACAGTATTTCATTGTATACTTTGCAACAACCAGTCAGTTGTATGAGTTTGGTCTACCAGATGAAGAGCTAAGGCTCAGAGAGATCAAGGAGCTTACCCCAGACCGCACAGCAGGAAAGTGGCAGGGCTGAGTTTGAACTCTGGGCTTTCTGAGCCCTTGACTAACAGTTGGCTAGCTGCCAGCAAAGAAAGTCCTGGGGAAAGCTGTCTCCCAGGGAACCTGTGCCAGTTCTCTTCATGCCTGCCATCTGGGCTTGGATTCTCAGTTGAGTATCATTCCTAGTGGGGTGCCAGACACAAGGAAGGTGTCTGAGTCCCAAAATCACCACCCCCTGGGCTGCTCATGGCCACAGGGGCTTTAGGCCCTAGCCCAGGAACACTTGTATGTCTGCACACCAGATGTAAGAGAGGGCTGGAAGCAGTCCCTGACCACAGGGCAAGCCCAGCAGCCACTGCTGACTTCAGAATGGGGCCAGTTTCAGTGGGTGGAGGCAGCTTTTCTGGCTACTAAAGGGCAGTGGATCCTATCTCAGGAACTGGGCTAGGAACAGGTCCTTTCCATCCTCCCTCTCCCCAGGCCCACACTATCCCTCTAGCTAAGCTCTTCCTTTTTTCACCAGTCCCTGTCCCCTCTCCCTAAGCCCCACCACAGCAGGGAATGGGCAGATGGATGGGGAGGGGTAGGGCCTACACTAATATGCCCACCTTGAAGACTGTGACAAATGCATAAGTAGGTAAAAGGAAAAGCTCCAGCCCCCAACACCTTCATGGCCCAGCTTGGTCCTGAAGTATTTGAGTTCGGAAGCCTTGCCTGTGATTGCCTATAACCATCAGTGACCCTGCAGTGACACCTGTGGCCAAGGTGCCCCAGCAGGCTGTAGGAAGACTCAGTGGTTGGACTTTCAAGGGGAAGGAGGAGAAGAAAAACAACTGCTGCAATGCACTGGGAGCCTCAGGAGGGATTCCCTGTGGTTAGGGCCTCACAGTGAGGGAGGAGTCACCACACCCATTCTATCCATGAGCAAAACCAGGCTGTGGTAACCTGCAGAATTATGGAAGCAACTGATGAGGAAGGGGTACATGTACTCTTAGCCCCCTGTCCTAGTCAGGGAGGCAGGCCAAAGGCTCACCTATTTCTCATAATCATAAATGCCATGTCCCGATTTTTCACATGGGGAGACCTAAATCTCACCTTCATTCACCTCACTGTCCGAGGCCCCAGTCAGAACAGCAGAACTGAGCATGGGAAGCCCACTCCAGCAGCCCCAGGAATCCAGGTAGCAAAGCAACCCCCACTTCTTCCTGCCTCCCCTTAGTACCCACCCGGCGGCCTCAGTATCTAGGTTTTGCTCTTTGATGCCAAACCCAAAGAAATGTCTGAGTCAGTAGGTGATAAGGTTGGTAAGAAAAGAACCCTGGGGCTGATGCACAATCCCAGCTGTGTGATAAGAAGGGGGGGGCAGTGCGGGGGGAAGCCCTCGCCTTCTGCACCTCCACTGCCCCATCTGTGAAATGGATGCAATGCAGGGTTGCTAAGGAGTTCAGTCTGATCCTGTAGGCAGTGCTTGTCCTTTCACAAGGCTCCAGGGAAAAAAAAAATCTCCCGGCCCTGCCTCCATTCCAGTGGCCAGGGATTTGAGCTGCTGAGTACAGGGGCTTCTGTCTGCATTTCAGTGTGCTCATAGAGCTTGGGGCAGGTTGGGGAGGGGCAGAGGTAGATGGGCTGGGCCCAGAATCTAGGTCTCAGGAAGCTATCTTGGTCTCCCCCACCAGGCAAGGCAGCTAGTCTCAGGGCTCTCCTGCCAGGGACTCGGGCAGGGGGGAGATTGCCCACCTAGAAAGAAAAGAGGCTGTTGCTTACTGCTTGCAGTCCCTGCTCTCTCTAAACTCCTTTTTGACAGCATAGGAGGAGCCTCTTTTAGACATACTGTGTCCAAACTCTAGCCCAGCTCAGGTGTTCAAGTCACATAGCATCAGACTCACATTGACATGAACCCTAGTATGTCTCTCACTTAATCCATGTACACATTACTGACCTTTCTCTGGGTCTCAGTTTCCCCAATTGTCACCTGGGGATGATGAGAACACCCAATTCATAGGTAGGGCAATTATAATGATCTAGTGAAATCAGTCCAGTTCTAAATAAGTGCTAAGAAGTAGAAACTGCTATTACTATTATTCATTCAACAAATATTCATGCCAGGTGGGGATGGAGGTTGAAGGAGACAGACACAATCCCTGAGCTCTTGGAAAGAGGTATGGAGGAGGAATCAATCTGACTCTGGTGTTGATTATCACCAGAAGGATCATTTCAGGCTCTGCTGGTGTTCACCATCACTAGATAAATGCAAGTTCCTGAGTCCCACTGCCCAGAGTCTGACATGGCCTGCAACCTGCTATTTGAACCAACTGTCCCCCCATTGATCCCAAGTCAGGTGGTCCTAGGGGCACTCTCTGAGAAACCCTGACTTGGGCTTTCTTGGTCCTGGGAGAGCTGGCCCTCGTGGCCCCTCCCACAAAGAAAGGGCTTTAAAAGCTCCACACTTGCTGGTGCTTTCTCCTCCCTGATTTACAGAACCCATGGCTCTCATTCCTTCCACTCAGAGAGAGTGGTGATCAGTACCCAAAGGGGAGGTGGAAGACTGACATTACAGTTAGACAGACTTTTCTGTTGGAGGCCTTCCCACCACTGTCATTGTCAATCTCCAGGAAGGATGATACAGAAGGCCAAGTTTACCACATCTGACCCAGGAACACTGTTTTTCCATTTGTAGATTATTAGATTAAGCAGAGTTCTACAGGTGTATACCACAGGAAGGAATGAGTCACAAGTATCTTTACAGCATGAGATGTTCCCCATCTCTTTGAATATGAACCCCCTTTCTTTATTTAGTACAGCATGTAACACAGAGGATTGCTCCATCAGTCTGTCCCTTGGCAATGAAACTACCAAGAAAAGCACTCATGGCTTTGCCTGTCTCCAAAGCCAACAGCTCTTTTGGAGAATGGGTCAAGCAAGACAACATTTTTGGATTTGTGGGAAGACAGTCTCTGTTACAAATATTCTGCTATTGTAGTACGAAAGCAGCCACATATGATATGTAAACAAATGAGCATGACTGTGTGCCAATAAACCTGCATTTCCAGACACCGCAATTTGAATTTCATGTAATTTTCTCATGTCATGATACAGTGATTTGTGTCACAAAATCTTCTTTTGAAGGGAGAATGGGGCTCAATGGCCTATGGTGGAAGATTAATGGTGGGTGCAGTGTGAGAACATATATTTGTAGAGGTGTGAATCTAAACTCCTGAAACACAGTGTTGTAAGACAATATTACCTCCATAAACATAAATTAAGAAACATGTGATATCCCCCCATTCATTTAAAAATACGAAATTTGTATTTACATTTACTCATGTGTCATACAAAAAAACAGATGATGGCCACAGTCGGACAACCTGTTTTTAACGCTAGTTCTTTACCTGAATGGCTTGCTTTTTGAACACTGCCCCCCAAAGGAAATAGAAAGATAACTCACTTTCCTCGTCTAGAGAATAGCTTCAAAAACGAACGTGAGGGTCTCCTTGGTGGCGCAAGTGGTTAAGTCTCAGCACTATGAAGCTATCACTAGCCACTGAAGCACAAGTTCAATCCCCGGCCAGGGGACTAACACACACGGCACAGCAGACCTCTTCTGTCTCACCTGCTGCTACCCTCAGCAGTGTATTTCAGTCAATCTGAAGGTTCTGCTCCTCACTCTGTCTCTGGTGAATTCTCTCACCTCCAACACCTCTAGCCCACACCCCAGCTCTTATATACATAAATAAATAAAATAAATCTTTAAAAAAAATAATGAACTTGAGGGGCAATGGAAAAATTATGTATAATGAATGGGGGCTTCCCCCATCCTCTATGTCCAGTTAGTTTATAAGACTTGTCAATAACTCACCCATAATAGGTATGAAGACTAGGCATTTCTGACGATGGCCTGCCTTGTCCATCATTCCATCACCAGTTCATAGCACACTGTTGGGCACACTTTTATTGTCTAATGAGTGCTATGTGCTATGAGTGCTATGTGCTAATGAGTGCTATGTGCTATGCTGGGAACACATAACTAGTGAGCAAGACTATGAGCAGTTTCAATCTGCAGATTGTGTCCTTGGAGGGCTCTGCTTGATCAATCCCTTGTCCCCAGCCCCCAAGATGTGGGGGCAGGTGGTGGGAGGAGAAGGCAAGGATTTTTGTTTCAGAGATAACTTGCCTAGGTCCCCACCCTTCCCACAATACCCACACCCCTGCCTCACCCAGAAGCCTCCTGAAATGAAGAAAGACTTGGGGCTGAGCATGAGCCTCCAGCCCAGGGACAATTTTTCTTACTGACTACTCCCCTAAAGTTGGAGACAGGCCATTCAGGAGCAAGGGGTATAACACTTTTCCACTAGAAACTGGAATCCTGGTATCCAGCTTCCTGGGATCATCGCCCACATGGCCCAGCAAGTCAACTCTTAAAGTCACCAGGCAGTCACACAATTCAAAATGATAAAAATAAATGCGAACAGTGTAATTCTGAGGGCTGAGCTGGAAACAACTATCATCATAATAACAGTAGCAGCTAACACAGTTTGAGCAATTACTATGTATTTGATGTTCAACATTGTATTCTTTTATTGGATCCACAGCACAGGAAGGAGAGTAAAATCATTAGCAAGGAATCACTTAGAGGAGAGGAAATTGAGGGCCACAAGAAGTTAACTGACAAAAGAACACACAAGTAGAAAACAGTAGATAGTTTCAAGGACATCCAAACCATGCCTTTGTTCCTTACTTTATTCAATCAAAAGACTCCTTTGGGCTTGGGTTCAAATTGCAAAAGTGGGGCAGTGAAGGGGCAACAGTCAACTAGACTAGCTAAGAACTGACATCACTTTCTGCTCAAATTTGTCTTTCTAACAGCTGCTGATGATCCTCCTGGCAACTTGGTACCTCCAAATTTTTACTGAAAATTTATCTCTTTCCTTAAGGTCCTGTCACCTCTTAAAAAGGGTCTGGTCTAAGAAGATTCCCAGAAGTACGCTACTCCCTGGTCTTGTATCAAATTCTTGGGGGAAAGATTAGGAGAGCCTGAGATGATCCCTCTTGAAGTTTATTGATTGATTTCAAAAGCAAAGGGTTGCAGTTTGCACACAGTCACTTTGCTCTGCTAATGCCAAGCTCCAAAGCAAGACAAGAAGAACCAAAGTGGACTTGGCCCAGCTAGTTATTGAGGAGAAAAAAATTCCCCCCTCCAAAGCAGTGGCTCACTTCCCCTTCCTTCTGACCTCGGTGTCCTGTCCAAGTGGCTCTGGAAGCTGGTACCTCCTCAGTGACATGTGATCCAGCTGACACTAACTTGATTGACACCAAAACATGTGTATGGAAAAAAGAAGCAGCTTAAAGAAGCTAAGAAACATCCTGAGACACTATTTGTTCCCTATTCCCAGAAAGGAAGACCTTAATGGGCAGAACAGGTAAGAAAGGGCTCACCTCCAGGTATAGTGCCCTTCCCTGAACAACACCAGCTCAAAGACAGCGGCCCACAGAGAAACAACCAAGTTTCTGTTCCTCTAACTCAGCCACACAAGATCACTCCTCCCAGTTGTGGGCTTCGTTTTTGGAAAAACAAACCCTCCATGCTAAATTCATACTACACTCCTAACTTACAGCTCCATGAAACTACCTCTGGCAGATTTGGGAACTGATAGCAGGATTGAAATCGATACTAGCTAACAGTTAAGCTATCAAACCACATTCAGAAACAGTAGAGAGTTAAAAAATGAGCCCTGGATATATTCCTGAAAGTAATCAAAAGTCCCTGAAATGCAAAAGAGAGGCGGTGAAAATGATTCTCCCCATTTCACAGGATGAAAAACTGAGGCCTCAGGTGTAGGCACAGAGTCCGGGAGACGACTTGGGTTTCTTGAGGCACACAGCACAGGTGGCCTTGCTCCGCTTAGGGGAGCAAAGAGGTCCCAGCAGTAGCTGCCCTATTTGGTGCCTGGGGGCCCGGCCCCGCCCCGCCCACACCTTCCCCACCTCACCCCGCCTACCCACATCGGTCCCGCCTCACTCCTCCCTCGCTCCCATTGGCCTAGCCTCCCCAGACCCGCCCCTCCGCGCCTCCCGACATATAAAAGCCCCCGCGGCCGGTCGACCTCCACTTGCAGTCGGCCTGCGAGCGCCCGCCCCTCACGGGGGCCGGGCCGCGGTGCTGGAGGGCGGGTGGTGTCGCCCCAGCCGGGCCACGGCCCCCTCCCCCACGGCCCCGACTGTCGCCGCCGCCATTTTGATCGCCCGCCCCTTCCCCCTGGACTAGGACTTCAGCGACACACGCTGCCCGGGTCCAACCATCCGCCCAGGTCCGGCCTCCCACCCTGGGGCCGCCCCGGTTACCTCGGCTTCTCCCCACTTCTGTCCGCCGAAGGCCTTTCCAGAGGTCTTAGAGGCGATGCTGGAAGGGCGAAGGAACGTGCCGGGGTCCCCGGGACGGGCCGGGGGTGGGGTGGGGGTGGGGGTCGGCCGGGCTGTTGTTGTTGTTGACTCGCGTTGCCGGGTTGCTTGGTCGCCACGACTACCGTGGCTATGGCGCCTCCGTTTCCCTCACCGGGGCAACTGTTGCTACCCACCCTACTTACGTCACGCGCTGGGGGCGGGGTCCCGAGTGATTGGCGGTGCCGGGAGAAGTGATTGGATGGTGCCGGATCCTGCTGCTAAGCTATTGGCCTCAAGTCATGCTTTTCAACACGCTCTCGACTTCCCAGCGCTCTGATTCATCAGTAGCAATGTCCATCAAAGGAAACTGAGCCCTCTAAGGCAGCGGAGCCCGTCACTCCCTCAAGGAAGCCGCGAACTAAGAATGAAAGGGTGGGGTCTATGAGGTCGGGATTGGGTTTCGATCGCCAAATCTGCCTTCTGGTTGGACTAAAGGGACGTCAATCACTCCCAAAAGTTTGCCGCGCCCCCTGGCTGGACTCTGTGCGCGTGCGCAGCGCGCAACGCCAGCTGGGAATAGTAGTCCGTTTCTGCATGCCTTAAACACCTTACCAAATAAAAAGGACGAGAAAGGAAGATCTCTTCTTTAAGACTTCTGCCTTCCCCGGTGGGCCAGTTCTTGCCTTCACGCGCGGACGTCATGGGAGGAATGTGGTGACGCACTGTTGCTCGTCTGTGACGTTAGCGGCGGAGGCCAGGCTTGGGATTCGATTACAGCACTGGGCCCTCTTCTCACCCCATCCCTCCATTGCACTACAATGGTAGAATGGACGTGGGGAGCCAAGGCGCGATTCGATCCCCAGCGCAAACCCCTCTTCCGCCTACGATCGGCGGAGAGCGCAGCCTGGAAAGGTCACCGCTGCCTGGGGCAGCTGCTATCTCAGCCCCACAGGCGGTGCCGGTGGCCCGGGGAAAGGTCTTCCCACAGGCGGTGGACTTAATTAGTTACTTCTAATGTAGGCGATAAGGAAAAGTCATCACCTGCCCTTCCCAGGGGAGTCCTGCCCTCTTCCCGCCTTTCTTCCAGTCCTCCATGCCTCAGATTCCCTAGGGGAGGAGAAGAAAAGACAGGGTAAAAGGCTCGGAACTAGAAAACATCAAGAAAAATAATATCCTAATGCAGTGTATTTTTTAAAGATTTATTTATTTATACAAGAAGTGGGGTACAGGTCAGAGGCGCAGGAGGGTGAGAGAATTCACCAGAGACAGAGCGGGGAGCAGAACAGGCAGTCGGACCAAAGACACTGCTGAGGGGAGCAGCAGGCGAGGCAGGAGAGGTCTGCTGCGCCATGTGGGACTCTCCCTGGCCCGCCGGGGATCGAACCCGCGCTGCAGAGACTGTGGACAGCTTCACAGTGGGGCGCTTAACCTGCTGCCTCACAGGGGGGGGGGGAATTAATGGGGAGGGGATAATGCGTGATATACAAAACGGCAACATTTTAAATATTAATTGATAGAATCTGCCAGAACAGGGGTTGAGTTGAGATTAGTCTTGCAAGCGCAGGTTTGGATCTTGTCTTTTAAAAATATTTTGGTTATCACATAGTTTTTGTGTTAATTTTGGTTTTTGAAAATCATCATCCCAATGAGTTTTTTGAACCCCCCCTTAAATTTTCACACCCTAGTTCCCACTAGACAAAAGAGGAACAAATAAAGCAAAGGCTCACACCTGCAATTCTAATTCCATTTCTGCTGTGTGGTAATGAAAAAAGTGGTTCCAATTCTCTGAGCTTCTGTTTCCTATGTCAACCATTATTCCTCAGTGCAAAATCTGAGCTGGAAACATGAAGGAAGCATGCCAGTTCCTAGACTGCATTCTACCAAGAGAGACACAAGAAACTGAAATTGATAGATAAAGTAGGTACTTAAAGGCTATGAGAGGAAGCATTAGGGTGTATTACCTGAGGAGAGGCCAGCAAACAGACTGAGTTGTGAGAAGAAAGTGCCACCAAATCAAGGTGGAGGGAACCACAGAGGCAAAGTTCTGAGGACCAGAACAAAAATATCCAGCAGGGGTGGAGTGAAGTCAAAGAGATAATGGTAGCCAGGTGAATCTACAGAAATCATTCACTCAGCAAAGTGAAATATTCCCGCCATTTTAACAGGTGAGAAAACAGGCTCAGAAGGGGAAGTAACTCCCCTAGGAACCCAAGTTGGAGGGACCAGCACCCAGAAAACCTGTCTCCTTTTCTGGGTGTGACCCTCAGTGGAAGAGGAGAAGCAGCAACAGCCCCCTTCTGCTGGAAATGCCAACTGACCTCTAGTCTGACAGGTCTCCCCAAGAATTAGACTTCCAGTAGGAGGAGCCCAACTTGGCAAAATGACTTGGGAAGTCATTCAGCACCTTCAGCTGCTTCTATAAGACTGATGGGAATCCCAGGGTCAGCCATATGCTGAGGAGAGAACTTAAGCCCTTTTTCCACTTCCCACCCATTTCCCCACATTCCAGAAATCCTTGAACCACAACATAGTATGCATAGCCAAGCATGGAAATCATTTCTTCAATTATAAATGTTCATTACAAGCCTTTGCATCAGGGAAGGTAGTGGAGGGTGGGAAAACTAGAAATGTTCTTTTTTTATCTGATGATAGTTGCACTGGTGTACAGATAGAAAAATTCCCTGAGCTCTCTATTCAAGTTCTGTGTACCTCAGTTTGAAAGTTTTCTCTCTCTCTCTACCTCAGTTTGAAAGTTCTCTCTCTCTCTCTCTCTCTCTCTCTCTCTCTCTCTCTCTCTCTCTCACACACACACACACACACACACACACACCCATACCATTGGAAGCAGCTCTTCACTTCCTGGAAACAGTTGTAATTAAAAGTAAGGAATTAAGCATGGCCTTCCCCTCTCAGTAGTAGTTATGTTTCACAGTCACCAAACAGCTCAGAAGAATGCCAGTTTTAAAATTCAGAAGGAAGGGATTCTCTGGTGGTACAGGGGTTAAAGTCTCAGCTCTATCGAGCTATCACCAGCCACTGTTGCATAAGTTCCGTCCCTGGCCTGGGAGCTTACTCACATGGCACAGCAGACCTCTCCTGTCTTGCCTGCTGCTCCCCTCAGCAGTGTATTTCAGTCATTCCACCTGTTCTGCTTTCCATTCTGTCTCTGGTGAATCCTCCACCAACACCCAAACCTCTGGTCTATTCCCAGCTCTTGTATGCATAAATAAATAAATCTTTTTAAAAATTAAATTAAATTCAGATGGATTGGGAGAATTAGAAAATCACCATTTTTGCAAAAGCCAATGAAATCATTGATTTAAGCACTGCTGATCATGGATGTTACAAGGCACCAAGTGAGAGGAGGATGGAAACAAAATATGCTACAGGTCACAAAGCACACACACCACCACCCCCTACTAGGCTGCCTAACAGTGTTTACTGTGATGAAACTCAGCATCAGAGAAGAGGGACCTGGAGAATCCAATCTGAGGCAAAAGGAAGTTCACAGCTTCCTATAGGATACATTATGCCAAAATGCTAAACCTAGCTCTGATGAAATCTCCCAACTTAACATTCAGTTTGCAGGAAGTGGAAGGGGTAGACAACATGAGGAAGCAGTAGAACATATCCAGAGGGGGCAACTGCCCTGATCACTTAAACAGGAAAAAATGGATGGAACTATTTTAGCGCAGGTGGCAGCGTTGACATTTTTGTTGTGGGGTGCACTGTTGTTTCCTGTGCATTATAGGATATTGGTAGCATCCCTGGCCACCACCCAGGAAATTTCAGTGGCACCCTAATACAAGTGGGACAATCAAAGATGTCTCCAGACACTGCCAAATCTTCTTGGAAGTACAAATCACCACCAGTTAAGAATCACTGTCACAGGGCCTCCCTGGTGGCGCAGGGGTTAAGGTGCAGCACTATGAAGTTATCCACAGCCACTGTAGCACAAGTCCAGATCCCTGGCCAGGGAGGTGACCCACATGACGCAGCAGACCTCTCCTGTCTCACTTGCTGCTCCCCTCAGCAGTGTATTTCAGTCAATCTGCCAGTTCTGTTCCCCACTCTGTCTCTGATGAATCCTCTCACCCCCACACCTCTGACCTCTACCCCAGTTCTTGTGTGCATAAATAAATAAATCTTCAGAAAAAAAAAGAATTACTGCCAGAGATGATGGAGCCACTGAAAAAATAATCCAGGGTCCCTGAGTAGTATGCCAGCCAAACCAAACATTTTCTTTTAAGTCAATTTAACAGGATCCTGTTAAATTGGAAAAAAGAAATACAACCTGGTAGTTCTTTTCCAAGTTTTTTTATTTATTGAAATTTAAACACCAGATAAGATGTTCACTGAAGTGGGAAGTTGGAAGCAATGGATATGTCCATGTCCAAGGAACTAGAAAAATGAAATGAGAAGACTCCAGGAAACAGAATAACACACTAACAGACTAGTGGTGAAAGCAACAAAGTAACTCTTTTAAAATGTAGCACTGATGGAGTGACACCCAAACACTGCAGCATTTTAAAATAAGGTGATCTCACACTTGACACAAGTGGCAAGAGGTCTTTTTGGATTTTTGCTAAAAGGGAGGAAAAAAAGAATGAAAAAATTTTAAACATTCATTAATATGCCAGCAAATAAGACTCATACTGGTGCATTAAAATGCAAACAAGATGCCCTTCTTTTACAACTGCAATTTTTCAAAAAATTCTGTTTGTTATACATGAGATGGTGAATTGTGAGCAATCTGGTTTTTTTTTTTTTTTTTTTGAGATTCTTTTTTTTTATTTATGCATACAAGAACTGGGGTCTAGGCCAGAGGTGCAGGGGGTGAGAGGATTCACCAGAGACACAGTGGGGAGCAGAACAGGCAGACTGACTGAAATACACTGCTGAGGGGAGCAGAGGGCAAGACAGGAGAGGTCAACTATACCATATGTGGGTTAGCTCCCTGGCCAGGATGGAACTCAGGCTGCAGTGGTGGGTGATAGCGTGATAGTGCTGAGACTTAACTCCTGTGCCACCAGGAAGGCCCAATCTGGTTCTTCTAAGAAATTTTTCAAACTATGTACTCAATTGCACATATGTCCATGGATAAAATAGAATCTACTCTCGGACATTTACACTCAGAACAGGTTTGCAAGCAGGGTTTTGATGAGTTAATAAATACTTTGACTCCTTTTGAAAGGCTGTAATGTATCAGTGAGCAAAAAAGGATACACAAGCCTAGCTAGAGGACACAAAGCCATTGTGCAAATTACAATAAACACATATGAATGTACAAAGAAAATGTTATAAATATATGAAATGATACATCCTATTCTTCAAGAACATCAACATGGTCAGGAACACATGACAAATATTTTAGAATAGTCTGGCAATGGCTCAGCAAGGCAAGGAATTGGGGATCTGAGATGAAAAGGGCAGAAATTAAATCAATGAAGGCTTTAAATGAGCTACCAATAGTCTATTGTGAGTTTGGGGAGAGGCAGAGCTGACTTTATGGCAAGTTGTGGGAAGGCAAATGTCAGATTTCAAAAGGCTGAAGACCAAGTGAGGCATAGAGACAATAATTAAAAGCAAGATATATTTGGATGAGGAAGTCAGATTCTAAATCTTCACAGTCCAATATTGTAGCCGCTAGTCCTGACTGACTATCTTTTAATGGAAGGGGACGACTTTTATTTCTTTCCTTGCCTAATTTCTCTGGCTAGTATTCCAGTACTATGTTGAATGAAATTGTCAAGGGTGGGCATCCTTGCCTTTTTCCTGGCCTTGGAGGAAAACCTTTTAATGTTTCAACTTTGAATATGATATTAG